CAGTGCAAAGTAGTGCATGGAGGACAGCTGACAGATGCATTCCAAGTAAGGACCGGAGTCAGACAAGGCTGTTTACTCTCTCCCTTACTCTTTCTTCTGGTGGTCGACTGGATTATGAAGACCTCGACATCTGAAGGAAAACACGAAATACAATGGACAGCTCAGAACCAATTAGACGATCTGGACTTCGCAGATGACCTAGCCCTCCTATCACGTACACACGAACAGATGCAGATGAAGACAGCCAGTGTAGCAGCAGTCTCTGCATCAGTAGGCCTCAGCATACACAAAGGGAAAACGAAGGTCCTCAAATTCAAAGCGGAGAACAGCAATCCAATCACTCTTGATGGCGAAACTCTGGAAGATGTAGAATCCTTCACATATCTGGGAAGCATCGTCGATAGACATGGAGGTTCAGATGCAGACGTAAAGGCGAGGATTGGCAAAGCAAGGGCCGCATTCCTACAATTGAAGAACATATGGAACTCAAAACAACTTTCAACCAATATCAAAGTGAGAATCTTCAATACGAACGTCAAGGCAATTCTACTGTATGGAGCTGAAACTTGGAGAACTACAACAACCACAATCAAGAAAGTACAAGTATTTATAAATAGCTGTCTACGCAAGATACTCAACATCCATTGGCCGGATACCATCAGCAATAGCCTTCTGTGGGAGAGAACAAACCAACTTCCAGCTGAAGAGGAAATTAGGAAAAGACGATGGAAATGGATAGGACATACATTACGCAAATCGTCAAACTGCATCACGAGGCAAGCCCTAACTTGGAATCCTGAAGGGAAGCGGAAAAGAGGAAGGCCAAAGAACACATTACGTCGGATAATAGAAGCAGATATGAAAAGGATGAATTACAACTGGAAGGAGCTGGAAAGTATTGCCCTGGACAGGGTTGGATGGAGAATGCTGGTGAGCGACCTATGCTCCTTCACGAGGAGTAACAGGTGCGTCATGAACCAATCGATGTTAGACGACCATTGAAAACACCGTTCGATGCTCGCTTAGTGGTCGAGACGTTAACTGTTCGCACACGCGATCAAAGGTCCCGAGTTCGAATCTCGCGCGGGAGATCGTGGATACGAATTGCTCAGCAGTCCCATACTATAACGAGACGGACGTCCGGTACTTCCAGGTTTTCAATGGTGGTCTAACATTGACCGATTCATGTAAGTTTGTAGTTATAAAAATTGCTAAATATGCAATTATTTACTATGGTATTTTGTCGAGTTATATATATATATATATATATATATATATATATATATATATATATATATATATACTGGCACGCAAATTATTCTTTTGAATACAAATGGAAATCCGTTTACTTTACAATGAAAATCAGATATTTCTTTACAACCTGGTTTTTATATTTATCTAAAGTGAATAAAACATAAGTTTTTTATCTGAATTCAGAAGTAAATCTGGACAATTTACATCGACTGATCACCGAATGGTAATTAATTTCATGTATTAAGTGTTCTTTCAGGTTTGATTGAATTCTGTTAATTAAGTTGTAACGAATTTAGGTACCTTATCATTGGATGCATTAGGCAGTTGCGAAAAATATCGACCAACTCCGTTCAGACACTTGATGACTCAAGAACACAAAATATCTTGTCTGACATGGAATTGATCAGTTCTAGATTTCGTCCTATTTAAGGTTAAGTGTATGGTTCACTCACTCAGTAACATAATGATTAAGCACTCTCTGGGATACTTGATAAACCTGGTTTTTATGCTTAATGTTTAGTAGTTAGGTACTACTAAAGAGTTATACACTTAGGATGAAATAGTCGTTTAGTATTTCCTGAATTTCAGTGGTGATCAAATTGAAATCAGTCTACGAATTCAGTGAACTCTGCAACACTCCTATACGAACGATAAAGTTTATTTGCTTCAGGCATTTTACCACATTTTCAAGTATCTTTAAAATTCCATTCCTTATTATTCCCATTCACGACTGTTTTGATATAAGTTACCACTGGAAATATTTTTTCACTTGTTCACCCTCCAAAAACAAAGAAACAACTCAAATGTTTTATTTAATAATATTACAACAATTTGAATGAATACAAACTAGACAACTAATTCCTTTTTCCTCTACATCTATCTTTGTTTCAATTTCTTGGCTAAATTAAATTTTCTCTTACTTCTAGACATAGTTAATTCCCAAGCTTCCACCGATTTCTCGCCACCGTTACTTTCTTCTTCAATGTCTGCCAGCCTATTATTTACAGTTCTCCTTTTTTTCCTTGATTTTTGTTTCACTTATTTAATGTTGTTAACAAGATATTGAAATAAATAGAAGTTCTGTTACTAAGTGGAATCAATTGACAAACGTTTGCGTTTCACAAAAAGTAAAAAAATAAACATAACGCTTAATTGAATTGATCATAATTGAATCATCTCCGTATAATCGTATTTCTTTTTTTCTGGGTAGTATCACAATTGTGGAAATGTTTTCTACCGTAAATTCCAAATGATATGATATGAATTATTGAAACATAATAAGTGTTTGCTGATTTTCATAATTTACGCAATTAGACAACCATTAATAGATGGTTGTTTCATCTCGGTATGGGACTCATTCCAAGCGTACATTCGCGATCCCAAATAAAGTTCGAAACCAAGAACATCAGGTATCCTCTTAGACAGTTTTCTGTCTTCTCCTTGTTTAAACGAAGCTTAATAGAAAGCATATATAAACACGTCCTGTTACTTAGTTTAACTCCGCCTGTAGCTCTTCTAGAGCTACTACCGGTCCCAAGCCCGGGTAAAGGAGGAGGGTTGGGCATGGGGTTAGAGACCCCATCCCATAGAAAACTAACTCGCTAAAAAAACGCTAACCAGAAAAAACAATTCAAACCTGTTACCTAGTTTGATTTAGTCACTAATAAATATTTTCAAGGCGAAGATTTTATGGGAAACTTTATTGACTAGAGTTTAATAATAATGTACTCAAATTAAACATCGAGGTTTGTGAATTGACATAGACAAGAGCGTGTGAGGTGTGGTATTCGATAAATAAATGATTCATATATTCCTAGTAGCCCAAATCCTTTTGTGAACTGTCCGGGTATAATTGGGATATTCAAAAATGAAATAGAATCTTGAATGATCCACTTATTAAAAGTCACCAATGTAGATGGATTCTGAAACAGCGATTTAAAGCTTTTGGGTTTGCTGTCAAAGTTAATGGTATTTAATTTTGGTTCTTCAGTAAGGTTTATAGTTGTACATTATTCAAGTGTCTGGTATAAGGATGAGGCAAAATAATTTAATTAGAGAATAGGTATCATTTAAGTGTCGGATAAAATCTGCAATAAAACTCTCTCATTTAACGAAATAAGCACAAGAGGTTATCTTTATCAAATTTACTGTTTCTCATAAATCATGGGATACTATACCGACGGAATTACTGAATAGGTTTTTCCGTCAACAGTCGGATTCAATTCTATTGAACAATTCAATACGCTTGCCAAACCAGGCATTCATAATAGAAAGGCATAAAGTATTTAGGAAGCTGTATGTCCAAATACTGACCAATATATTTCGGTTAGTTGACTGATCCTGATGTGAACACAGTGCAGTAACCTGCGTACATGATCCACTTAATACATTCACTCAGATTTAAATATTTCACCTACCAATTGGCCATACGATTTCGTGCAATCAGTACAGGGTTGCTCAGTATGTCATTATATTTATATGTGAACTATAAAGGTGGTAAATGTTAAATGATATGGAAACTGTAGCCATTAAAAATAGGTTAAAGGGGTAAGGAGTTCAGTGGTTGAAATGCGTAAAAAAAGAGAATGAATCATTGTATATGTGAAAATTTTAATTTTCTTCCTCTTAAAACAACAAGCCTGTCAAGACGTTTAGTATATCTGTTACACAATCAATGTATCGTCCATATGAACTCCTTCTCTAACCTTCAGTTAAAACAATATCAGACTACAACGGATCGTAATTTCTAAAACTTGATAGATATCTAACATGGATATTTTTAACGCAAATCTGCGAAATTGAATTATAATCAACTGACTAACAGTTTTATGAAGGCTAAAAGATAATAGTCTATGGAAAGACTATAATTTATGAACGAACCAACATGACATGAGACAACGAGTCTTGGATTTTGGTGCAAGATTCAGTTCGTGATCAAAACCTTAAACCAAATTCCTAACCTAACCATCAACTGTAAATCATAATTCTGATTCCTCACACTGGTTTATAACTCTCATTTGGTCCTAGTTATTAAGTATACATTCTCAAAGTCACTTTAACGTCGCTCAAAGGTCATTTATAAATTATAGTCTGACAGAATATACTAACGGATTTACCAGAATCTAGCTATCAAAACTACGGATTTTCATACTTCTGTTTCCATTCTAATACTCATCAAACTTCATGCATTTGGTTCCCTTTATGAAGTTAAATAAAGCCAGGACAAATTTTGATGCAGATATTCGACATACAATACTTGTCATAACCAAGGAATTCTGTTTTAAATTTACAGCTAATTTCCTTGGTACATTCGATTTGGGATTTAGTGACATGTTGAAGTTTTTTCATGAATAAGGTATTTTACAAGCACGGATAGCTTTAATAATATGACGAGGAAATCAGGCATTATTCAAGCATTGTTCAAAAAACTTCAATCTTGTTAAGCAAAGATGAATAGTAGCCAGCAGTGGAATCCAGGACGCGAATTCCGTTCTATTTGGGACTCGTGAGCTGGATGTACCTATATCCATCTTTGTTTAAAAAGCTTGTGACTTAAGGCAATATTGAGGTAATTTGCATAGGATGCACATATGCCAACATGAGACTGATCAACTGCACTCCTATGTAACAGTCAGAAGATACAAGTAAAACGACACCAAGTGAATTTAATCTTGTTGTTTATCTCGATATCCTGCAACAAATATTGTTCTGGCTTCTATTTAAACTCATCAAACTGATGATTCGACATATATATATATACATAACATCAACTGAATTACAGGAAGACCATAATTCTATTTATTATTCACATATACATATAGATAAGTAATAATGTCTATGAGTTTGATATCATACCCACTGATTAACAATTGTTACCATGACAAAAATATCAAGAAAAAAGAAACGAAGATCAGTTGAATTTTTATATAAATAAATTTTGCATTTATGCGTTAAATAAAAATCTGACCAAAGGGGGGAACATTTCTCAATCTGTATGGGAAATTAGGATATATATATATATATAGTTTCATTTATTCAATGGATATACATAAATACACACCAATATAATTATACAATAGAATTCGTTTTTGATAAATATTCATGTATACACAAATATCCTATACAATATTCATTAGATACTGATTAGTTAAAATGAAGGGGGGGGGGAATAAGATTAAGATATTGATAAATAACTGAATAAAATGAGTATCTTCAAATATTGATTTCTTAGTTTTATATCATTCAAAAAGTATTACATATTGGGTAATTTGATACCCTATTTATAATAATATTCACATTTATAGTATTGTTAATTAGTGATTATCATTAGAAAGAGTAAACAATCAATAAATAATAATTGTTACTAACATAATATTAATTGTATTAATAATAATAACAATAATAATAATTGTAACTAAGGAAGAAGATTCAAATTCATTGAAGAGCTGAGCAATTAGTTTTAACAAAACAAAATGATCAAATAATTCATTAGGATTTGCTGCGTTTATAAAAGGCATATATGTACATGTATACTAATTGTTCACTAGGTATATATATATATATATAGAGAGAGAGAGGGAGGGAAGGAGAGAGACTCATTAGTCATCTGTATAAATAAATCACAGGCTAGTGAATATCATTTTTATAGAAAGAATCCATTTTGATATGTTTATATATTGTTTATCAAAAAAAAAGAGAAGAAAAAGAAGAAAAAGGAGAAGAAGATGAAGAAGAAGAAGTTTGTTTTTTAAACACGATTAATACTTTCAATAAATCGTCCAATATTTTCTTCAGTTCCAGTAATTTTTGCACGTTGATAGTTGCTCCATAACATACCAGTGACATCAAGTACAATTAAATCACTTGAGATTTTACTTACGGCTTGTAATAAAAATATACCATCCCAACCTAAATTATTATTAACAAATCGAGCACATTCTGTTTCTTCTGTATGTGATAATTGTTTTAATGCTTTTAAATATTGACGTATAAATTGGACACGACGATATGGTAAACATAATTTTGTAATCCATATAAATGTATTTAATATTGTTAAACATGCCATTAATATATACCAAAACCATAGAAATATATAGACTTTTTCAATAAAATAATTTACTGGAAGAACACATTGTAGTGTATATCTGTAATGAATAAAAGAAAAAAAATAATAAGAAGAAATAATAATGAAAATAATTTGGAAAATTAACAAATCTGCTGAGGCTGTTGCTACAGCAGCAGTAGGTCTCAACATACACAAGGGGTAAAGCAGGATTCTCCAATACAATACAGTATGAAACACTCACACTTGATGGAGAAGGTCTGGAGGATGTAAAAATGTTTACATATTTAGGCAGCATCATTGATGAACAGGGTGGATCTGATGCAGATGTAAAAGGGCAGATAGGTAAAACAAGAACAGTGTATTTACAACTAAAGAACATTTGGAACTCAAAACAACTGTCAACCAACACCAAGGTCAGAATTTTCAATACAAATGTCAAGACAGTTCTACTGGATGGGGCATAAACCTGGAGAAATACGAAAGCCATCATCCAGAAGATACAAGTGTTTATTAACAGTTGTCTACGCAAAATACTTCGGATTTTCCGGCTGGACACTACCAGCAACAACCTACTGTTGGAGAGATCAAACCAGATTCCAGTGGAGGAAGAAATCAGGAAGAAGCACAGGAAGTGGATGGGACACACATTGAGGAAAGCCCTCAACTGCGTCACAAGACAAGCCCCTACATGGAATCCTCAAGGCCAAAGGAAAAGAGGAAGACAAAAGGATGTTTTACGCCGAGAAATGGAGATAGACATGAGAAAAATGAACGAGAATTGGATGGAACTAGAAAAGAAGGCCCATGACAGAGTTGGTTGGAGAATGCTGGTCGTCGGCCTATGCTCCATTAGGAGTAACAGACGTAAGTCATAGTTGACGTCATTGGCTGACCGGATATTCATTTTGATTAAATACATTAGATAATTTTCGGAACTCTAGTGAGAAGCCCAAATCTCTAGAATCCAACCATATGAAGGAGGTGCTCACAATTAGTTCAGGAAAATGACTGAGCAGTATCAGAAGTTGAGTGGATTTGGATGTGTAAACCACTCGATGTCAAATTAGTAGTTTAAAGGTTAAGCGCTCACCTCGATATGTAAAACATTCTGGGTTTGATCTGTAATGAAGTCGTGAATGCACATTTCTGATAAGAATTATGGGGTGACAAAACAGCTGTCTGGTGCTTCCTGGTTTTTAGTGGTCATCTAACCATTGTTAGTCCACGATGTACTTCTGAGTATTATTTATCAATACCATGTTTTTGTCTGGACCTTCAAATGTTAATGGAATATGTATGTGTTGAATAGCAATGTAGTCGGTCACTAGTCGAAACGAAATTGCACACTATGTATGGTATTATCAAAGTGCGAATTCTACTCTATTAGAATTAATTTCATTGAAAGAAAGTCTAACATTATTTAATAAAAAACATGATGTTAAATACTAAAAACTGCTAGTCAAATTAACAATACAAAACAAACGTCCTAGCTCACTGAGTCATGACCAAGGTCATATTTGTCAGGTCTTTTAGCGATGACAGTGTTATATCCGAGTGGAGATTAAATTACAGGTAACTTCCGAGGACTATTCATGGACTAATATCCTATAAATATTCTTGTTGTATAACTATTCAACAATTACATTATGTATATTTGTATCCCTCTTATGACAAGCTTTATTTTGGCCTATAATTTATTATTGTACGATTTACGGTTCTTAAGTTATGTTCAGTTTATTACCTGCTGCCTCCCACATTCACAGCCACTTTTTGGGCTTATTTGTGTACAAATATTATTTCCTATTTTATGGTACGTTGCGGTCTGTATGATTGATATATAAACCAAGTATGCCTGAAATAAACGATCTGCTCTGATTCGGAGGCTGGTATCTTGTTCTGGACTCAAGTGGAAGGGCTCGTAGGACATAGGACCAATAAGGACGCTAAACTGCCAACACCGGTTGAACGTCATTGGTTGGCCTAGTGTGAAGATTCGTATAAGTCGTATTCGGATTGGTAGATAAATCGCGTGATAGAAAAGTCAGACATCCAAGGTCATAACAGACAGAATTCAAATGGTAACTTAGACCAGGACTAAAAGATTGGGCAAACACATGACAGCGATCAAACAATCCCGCGAGCGGGATCATGGATGCGCACTGCTGAGTAGTCCCACATCAGGGCGAAACGGCCGTCCAGTGCTTCCCGGTTTCCAAAGGTGGTCTAACATCAATCGGTTCATGATCTCAATCAAAAACTTAATAGTCTCCACAACCCCTATACTAGTAAAGACAATTTGATAATACTTGTTCAGGAATATTATTCATGATAATCTTAGACTCTATATTCACTAATGATTAACTGATGATTACGGACATTTTGTTAGTACAGAAAAATAACCTCTCAATTACATGGAAATGTTACAATCAATATACGACCATACCACATATATATAAAGTTTAAGTAGATCATTCGGTGATAAATCACTAGTAACCACATCATACCTGATGCAAAACATTTAAGTTCCAAGTTTCATTTTAATTAGAGGTGGTATAGTGGCATTGAGTGTATGCCAATGATAAATCTCATGTTCAGTTGAGAAAAATGTCTAATATTTCGAAATGTTCAACGATTATCTCTTTGGAAACAGTCCACAGTTCAGATCATATTCAAACAATGATATTAATAATAGTATATTCGGTTTGATACAAACTGCTTGGCAACAGTAATAATAAAAAATTTGAACTTAGACTTTCCAAAAACTTCCTAAGTTGCATCAAGGCAAGGATTTTTGACAAAATTAGTAATGTGGAGCAATAAAATATGTAGAGAGTGCATAAACCTTAGTGAAATCAAATTAATTAATGATCTTCAAGAATTTCCCCAAAAATGCCTTCAGAAGCCTAGAAAAGACATTGAATAGAAAATTCTGAGGAAAGTCTAAGAAAACGAAACGTTTTATGTTATTCCTAGATCATTACTTACGACATTACTAAAGTTAATGTGTTTTTCAGAACTGCTCATAAATAAATAACCCAGCTTCTTATGCATAGATCTTATCTTTACTTAGCAACCTTTATATACTATTTGAGCACTAAGTGTAAGAATATTTGAGAAATCTGAAAAATGATTAAAAAGTCTGTATCAAGTATCCAAGTAACAGAATAATTAAATTCGTGAACGAAAATATGTTCAATGATGAGTATATAAACGGATAGTAATTACTGAAATATCATAAATATAATATGAAGGAATTGTAGAATAAGATCTAGTATAAGATATATGCTTGAAAAAGAACCAAAAAACAAACGAAATGTATACAGATCTAAGGTTTACCCTTAACAAGCATAAACTACAGAAAATAATCATGGAACTAAATAGACTGTGACAAACCTACATGAGGTCGAAGCCATCATAGAGATCATATTAAATGTAACCATTACATACATATTTTGAAAAGAGTATGGACAAAGATTTTAGCACAATATCATTAATTCATTTTATTTCGTAGGTTCTCGTCACCACCGACAAACTGGAAGAAGAGTTGACGAACGTGGGAAAGTGTCTAAGAAACAATTTTTACTCACAAAAATTTGTTGACAAATACAGAAAGCCTAAGGAAGACGAGACAGAAGTAATTACTGTCAATAACAAACCAATATCTGTGAATCTTAACTTCAAAGATGATAATGTCGCAAACACAATTAACAGGAGACTGAACACTGCGCTAGCCAAAACTTATCCGGTGGTCAAACTTTTAATTCTGTATAAAAAAAACATGTTCAATAACTCAATCAAAGGTTGAAAAGCACCCCTTTTATGTTAACGCCAACTGTATTTATAAATTTACGTGTACCTGCTATATTGGCCGAACAGAAAGAAGGGCATATCTTAGATTTTTGAACATGTTCCAAAGAGCCTCAGAAAAACAGAAAGAAAGACTATAAATAGTGCAATCACCAAACATCTCCTTGATACAGGACATCAGGTCGATACCCTACAATCATTCAAGGTGTTTAGTAAAAAGTTAAACTCCAGTCTTCTGAAGTTTGCTGAAGCAGTTGCTATCAGACGCCAAAAACCTAATTTATGTGTTCAAATGGAGAGGGTTATTAATCTTTCCTTGCCTTGATGACTAACATTCCTTCACTGCATCTTCATATATATTTTTTCTTTTTCTTCAAACTCTTTCTCTCATTTATTACATCATTGAGTTATATTCCAACTATCTTCCAAATTATTAATCTTATTTTATCAACTGAGCTCGACTCATTTCATTCCTATCAATATTTGCTCATTATGTAATTACTTGTTTCTGGCCGTTTGAATTGTTGTCACAATCAATGTTGTCACAATGTTCTTTTACATAAGGTATATATTTACAATATTCAGTCTATCGAATTCATTTACACTCTTGTTATACTATACTAACATGTCTTCAATATAACTTCCAACCAAACTCTCCTATGTAAGTAAATAAAAGCCAATATGTAATTATGTTTTTAAATGTCACAGGTTGTAAGCATCTGACGAGAACCTAAAAAATAAAAAATAAATTCATGCTATTCTGTTAGGATCTTTATTCAAAATGATGTTGGGGAATTATGTGTATGAAACATATATATATATATATATATATTTATCCACTTATTTATACCCTAGTTACAAATATTTGTTTGTTCCTTCAGTTCTCTAGTTTCTCTATTTTACCCAGTATTTTCTACAATTTTTTTAATATTAGAAGGTCCAGGATAAAAAAACATACACAATCCATAGGTATTTAGTAATGGTAATATCAAACAGAATGAAAAATGATTGTATTATATAAGATTATACACTATGGCATAATCAGTTCATATACACAATTGGAACAATGTGATCTTATTGTGATTTATGTAATTCATAATGCATTTTATTGTACAATGTACTGAAGAGATTTTATTAAACTAAACAAGGAATAAAAACAACGTGACATTTATAGTATTGCTAATAATGAATTAGCAGCGTCAATGGCATCTTCCTAAAAACAATTTCCAAACAAAAAAAATGAATTGTAATGTAACGAGTTAGAATGAAATC